TGTATTAATTAAATCTACAATTTCTTCCTTTATAGAATCATAAAATAATTAGGGTTGGAAAGGACCTTAAGATCATCTAGTTCCAACCCCCCTGCCGTGGGCAGGGACACCTTACACTAAATCAGATCACCCAAGACCTCATCTCTTGTGAAGCTGCAGCCTGGGGAGGGATTCCTCTTCATATTCAAAGATGCAGCTTGAGACCTTGATTCCCACCAGCTTCTTCTCTTTGAAAGGCACAAACAAATGCAATGAATCTTTTGTAACCTTTTCTCTGACTCTTTTTCAGCAAGCAAATGTAAAACTACACTTCCTCTTCCCTCCCACCCCAGCAGCTTTAATAAAGAGCTCACAGGTAAGAGTGAGGAATTTTATTAGAGCTGAAGGACAAGGTCAAAAATCTTGCAAAAAAAAAAAAAAGATATTATCAGTGACAAAAGTTATAACCAAGTAAAGCTGATTGGTATTTCCTGTGAGAAGAGGCCTGGAATAATTGAGGGTAAATTCTTCCTAGAGGAGGATAACAGCAAAATGTAATGAAGTTTGAGGTTGCTGTTCCTCTTGGGTTCCTTCCAATGCAGATGTGATTTGGGGGAGTCTCTTTCTCATCCAATACTGTCATTGGCTTTTGTGCAGGGACAGTGTAAGAACCTACATAAAGTCATGAGGATTAGTGGGAAATCCCATTGTTTCAGTGCCCCATAAGCTTTCTCACTTGACATGAAATCTTCATGTCCTGGATAATACAACTCTTCTGTGTTGCCAGTGGTTGAAGAACCTTCTCCTGCACTTGATCAGAGCCTCCTTCACCTCCTTATTCCTCAGGCTGTAGATAAATGGGTTAAGCATGGGGTTGACCACAGCATAGAGGATGGAAGCCACCTTATCCAGGCTCCTGTGGCTAGATGGAGGTTGTAGGTACATGAAGAATGCTGACCCATATAACAAGGCAACAGCCATCAAATGGGAGGTGCAGGTATGGAAGGCTCTGGCCCTGCTCTGTGCTGAGCACACCCTCAGCATGTTGCGGATGATAGAGATGTAGGAGAGCAAAATGATAACGCTCGTACCCACTACGTTGATGGTGACGAAGGCAAAGATGACCATCTCACTGCTGTGTGTGTCAGAGCACACGAGCTTTAGCACAGGAACAACGTCACAGAAGAAGTGGTCAATGCGGTTGGGACCACAGAAGGAACCTCCAAACGTGCACCATGTGCAGATGATGGCACTGAGGAAGGCAAATGCGTACGATGATGCTACCAGCTGCCAGCAGACGCGTCTGGAGATGATGGTCACGTAAAGCAGGGGCTGGCAGATAGCAACGTGCCGGTCGTAGGCCATCATGGCCAGCAGGTGACACTCAATAACAGCAAAGTGTGTAAAGCTTTGAGACTGCATCATGCAGCCGGTAAAAGAAATGGTTTTGTCCTCTGATAACAGGTCTGTCAGCATCCTGGGGGAGATGACTGTGGAATAGCAGATGTCAGTGAAGGCAAAATGGGAGAGGAAGAAGTACATGGGGGTCTGGAGGCTGGAAGACACCCGAACCAAGATGATAATGCCGAAGTTCCCCACCAAAATGACAATGTAATTCAGCAGAAACAACACGAACAGAGGGATCTGAGCACCCGGGCTGTCTGTAATTCCTGAAAGGATGAATTTAATCTGGGTTTGATTTCCTCCCATGATCTGGTGTTACCTGCTGAGGCAAAAGGAAGAGAAACATTTTTTTAAAAACGGAGATTCATTTTTGGACCATGTTTAACTACAGTCAATCACCACTGTAAGTGCCACATTTTGGTTGAATTCATATACTGTACTATATTTTTAACCCAAAATCGTATGGTTTTTGGTTTTCAGTTAGTGTATTTATAAGAGAACAGGAAGCACACTGAAGTAACAAATGGCATTTTTGGTTTTCTATGCTCTAACACTTAAAACGATGGATTTATTTAGGCACTTTTGGACCATATTTTAATCCAAACAATGACCAGTTTAACTGCCACATTACTGTATATACTACTATATTAACTAACCCAAATTATATATATTTTATGTTATTCAACTGAGGTATCTTGAAAAGAACATGGACCGCATTCAAGGCACAAATGCTATTTTCAGTGCTAGGACTCTTAAAACTATGAATTTATTCAAGCACATGTGTTTTCAGATTAAAGAAAAGAATCATATCTTTCTTCACTTTCACTTTTCAGTATTCAGAGTTAATTTGGTCAGAAGACACCTGAAAACCTCATAGTAGCGCATGTGATCCGGGGGAAAGAAAGTCCCAGTCCTAGTGAAATCCATCTTACACATGAATAAACTGCACACATTTTGCCTTGGCTTTTAGTTATCATTCCAGTCACCAAATCACATTTATTAAACTATTTGAGATTATTCGTAACAGATAAAATTCACATGATTTATACCTTTCTGAGCTCCAGCACACTGAAGCATCCTAAACCTATGAGCATTAAGCTGCTTGCATTGAAAAGGAGTTGATGTTACAATGTACTTATTTGTTAGTGACTATATTCTGCTGACAATCTGCAATGTTGCATTTCTTTATAACAAAATAAGATTCATCCTCACTTAACTCTTGAATAAATTGGTGCATGTTTCTTTTGCTGCATATGTGAAAGAAAACAACCTGCATTCACCATTGCTCCGTCTAATTATAAAGAAAAAACACACTGGTAAGGTTGATTTCTGATGCAGCTTTCCCAAAGAGGACATGAGGACATGAAGAAGAAATACCACTGCTTCAATGAAGGTGAGGCTCTGCTTTGTGTTGGCATTACCTCCTGTGACTTCCTTCTGCCACCGAGTGATGGGAGCCACGGGTTAATCCCCAACGCAGCAGAGAACATCTGTGTGCCAGCATCAGCTCTGTTAAGCACCTGATGTGAGGAGAGGTGAGCTCCTGCCAGACTCCAAGAGCCCAGCTTGTGGTGCTGGGGCTGTAAATACAGTTGCATGTGCTCTGCTGGGAGGAAGCCTCCAGGGCTGCTCATGCTTTACCAGAGGAAAACAAAGAAAAGGAAAAGCAAAGGGTGTGAAATCACCTCTGAAAGGCATTGTGGTGCTTGGGCATCTGAGACATGATGTGGATGAGTCATTCCTGAGCGCAGCTACACAGCAGCAGTGATGAGCAGCTCATAGGATGCTTCTGACATACCTGTGGACCATACAAAGTTTTCAGTTTGACCTTGTCAACAGAATGAGAATGGGTTTAGAGACATTTCAGATCTTGCAGAGGGTCCCTAAATGCAACGTGAAGTACAAGTGACTCCATCTATGGAGCTGCTGCTGCCCCTCTGCACACTTGAGTGCCCAATTTTCCATCCTCTGTGGGATTATCCACATGTAGTGCCTGAATGTCCAACACCTGAGCTGGTGCTTTAGGGCTTCCACTGTATTCAAGGGTGAGAAATGGGCATTTGAGGCAGTGATGAATTGTCCCAGGGTGAGCTAATAGGCCTTTATCCCCCTGAGCAGACTCAGCTGGGGCTCCACTCCCACCCTCGGCCCATTTGCCCCCATCTCTGTTTAAGCTCAGCCCAAGGTGGTTGGACTATATTTGAGTTTTTGTTTCCATTTTAGCAGGAGTTGTGCACATCTATGGAATACTTTGAGGGTGATCTGAGGTTTCTTATGGACTTTCCTAGCAATTGCTGGACCTAAACCTGACCAGGGGATTGACTTGACCTGTGTTGGCTTGGTTTTGGACCTGCCTCATAGTCCCTAACTTGCTTGATGCTCTGGAATCTTGGCTGAACTTGGCCTAGGTCTCTGTTCCTGCTCTGTTTCTCTTGCTCAGGTACCGTGGGATGGTCCCTGCACACAGTGGTGTTCTCCTTTGGTTCAATTTTGATAGAGTGAAGAGACAAACCCCTATGGCACTCCCCATGTTCCTGCAGAGTAGAACACATTACCCTCTGTCCCCAACAGCCCAGCCGCTGCTCACTGCTCTGGCAGTCCCTCTCCATCCAGACCATATCCCTGCATGGGCGCAATAGGAGATAGTCTATTCAGTGAGGGAATTAGAGTGATCAATTGAACTTTATACTCGAGTGTTATTCTCCAGTCATTAGTATCACCTCCATTTTCCAAATATAATTGTAGAATAATGTTTTTGAGTAGGTGAGTAACACTGTGGTTTGGTAATGGGTTCTCAGTCTTAGTAAAAGCTCATAAAGCTGTCCAGCTTGAGGGTTTCTGTAGTTACAAGGTGCTGAGATGTCATTACTAAGAGATGCTCTTTGTCAATAACCTCACAGCAATTTCTGATTTCAGTGCATTCTGGCTCCCAGAAGACAGCCCATCTCAGGGGTTGAGGCAGTAATAGCTCCAGATGCCTGACTTGTGAAGTCCCTTAGGCAACTTTCCAATTATATTTAAAGGGGGGAGAAAACAAGACTGGCATGGGGTGATGTGCCCAATGAGACTGCTGGCAGCTTATGTCAACCATCTAAGCTGGAAAGCAATAAATAGTGAAGACAGGAGCCTCTGGGAGACACAGCCATACATGGACAGGCAACACCATGTAGAACTAAACAGGGAAGGAAAGGAGACTTGGAGGATTTCATGGAATGGTGAAGCACAGCCTCATAGAATCACAAAATTTCATCTCTGAAGCTCTGGTATATAAAGCAAGCTGGAAGGTGGAGAAATACTATCAAGACAGAGATGCTTTTGTGTAATAGTCATGCAAATGGGCAAGGAAGATCTGCTTAGAGGCAATGCCGAAGGAATGTAGCAGTGATTGTCACAGGAGCTTAAATTGCCTTTTCTCTTTGCAAACATCTCCTTGCTTAGTGGTAATGGTTATACTGGGACAAATATAAGCATGTACAGAAGAAATGTCTAATATCTTATGTATTTACCCCCTCTCCTGACACAATCCTTTTTGGGGAGGTATTTTATCCTATTTAAGAGATCAGCATAGACAATTTCAATAGGATATGCTCTATTTGTCTGTATTGTTGCCTTTCTAGTTCCCCTCAGCAATGACAAGGTGCAGGTTCTGTCTTTGAATGATTTCCTTGGAGAAAGGAACAAGAGGTATGCACGATAATAGCTCAGCCTGAAAGAGGCGGGGTCTTCAACAGGAAACCAGAAGTGGCATCTCAGGTACTGTTCTGGGGGATGGTGGTGGAACTAGTTTTAAACTCCTCTCAAATGTCTGTGTTTGAGACACATGGTTATGTTATAAATCCTTTCTAAATGGAAGTTTTACTTCCTGACCTTAATCTGGCAGGAAATCAGTTGCTTGGAAGTATTTGCTTTTTGCTTAAGATGTAAGTTGAATGATAGAAATTAAGGGGAAAAACACATTTTTAACAAGTCACCAGTGAAGCTGGAAGATACTGGTGAAGCAAAGATAAATGCATATGCCTGTCTCTCTCTTCTAGGTATTTATTCTTATGAGATGAGAGCAGTTATTGAGATGCAGTTTAGCCCCAAAGTAGCCACTAACCTTGTTATTAATCAATTGTTTTTAATGAAAACCAACATATTGCTTTTATTTCTGAGCATTTAGACTAAGGAGCAACAAATTCAGACTCTGAGCTACCTGGGGTAATTAAAAGAGTCTCTGGGACATCTTCAACCTGAAAAGCAGCATGAAAGTTAATATTTCTTTACCCTGTATTATCAGAGCAGTCAACCTGAGCTGCTCTTCCCTTAATGTGGAGAAAACTGCAGGCAGATGGAAACATAATGAAGACCACCATGATGTACAAGGGAAAACTTCTTTTGTTGGCTTCAGACTTCCTTTGAAATTGGTGTGTGAAGATAGAAGATACATTCAAAGCTTGGTTTAAGAGCCTGAGTGGTAGATGTAGTCAGTGACTCCCTGCATGGGCAGGTGGCTGTGGACCATCTAAGCATCCTGCCAAGGTGCCTGGCTGTGTTTCATTAGAGAATGTCTTCATTATCTAGAGTACAGGCTTAAACCCCACTAATAGTTAAGCAAGGGATTAAGCCATCATAACCAAGCCCACAGAAACCACCCTGCTGCCTGGGAACTGGGAGCCTCTTGGACACTGATGGCCTGGGAAAACTGGACTACGGTGACAGAGTTTGTTTTAAAGGGGTTCACAGATTGCCTCGACTTCCAGGTTACCCTTTTGTGATTTTCCTGCTCATCTATGTCACCACTGTGATAGGAAACCCTGGCATCCTTGCTGCAGTCTGGCTCGATTCCCAGCTTCAGAGCCCCATGTACTTCTTCCTCAGCCACTTGTCCTTCTTGGATCTGTGCTACTCCTCCATGGTGACACCCAAAATGCTGCTGAACCTCTTGTCTGAAAGGAAGACTATTTCTTTTGCTGGCTGCTTCCTACAGCTCTATATCTATGCTGTTTTGCAATCACAGAGTGCTACCTCCTGGCTGGGATGGCGTATGACCGCTATGTTGCCATCTGCAACGCCTTGCATTAACCCATCCTCATGTCCAAGAAGGTCTGTGTTTCCTTCTTAGCTAGGTCCTATGCAGTTGGGCTTTTTAATTCAGCCGTCTTCACAGGCTTTGCATTGAGGGTGTCCTTCTGTGGCCCCAATGTCATTGACCACTTCTTCTGCGATGGGCCACCACTCTCAAAGTTGGCTTGCTCTGATACTTCCCTCAACCAAGTGTTGCTGTTTGCTTTTGGGGGCTTCAGTGAGGTCACCACAATATCAGTCATCCTCATCTCCTATGGCCACATCCTCTTCACCGTCATGAGGACAGGCTCTGTGCTGGGCAAAGCTTTTGGTACCTGTGCATCCCACCTAGTGGCTGTCACCATCTTCTATGAGACCCTTATCTTCATGTACCTACGGCCCAGCTCCAGCTACAACGTGGGCAGGGACAAAATAGTTTCTGTCTTTTACACCATGGTGACCCCAATGTTGAACCCTTTCATCTACAGCCTGAGGAGCAAGGAGGTAAAGAGTGCTCTGAAGAGAACAGTGGGGAGAACGATTACTTCCCTGCCAAAGTCGTAAATGGTTTGACACTTAGTGATGGGAGTGGGGTTGGTGGTTTTGAGTCTTTTTGAGGTTGGAGAGAAGCTGTGATAATACTTCTATATATTATTGTCCATTTTGTAGACCAGCTTTATCGATGTGGGAGTAATTTGCTATACATTTGCCTCTTGATAGTGTATTTCATAACAGGAGAAACACATACTCGCTGAAGAGCCACCAAAGGTTGATTTGTGATGAAACATGCTAAAATGTCCAACTTGTTCCTGAATATTTGAAGGCAGAATGTGTTGGATTTTCCTATGTACCTGCCATTGCTTAAGCAACCCCAAATCGCTTCTTTCTTGAAGGGAAATATGATGACAAGGCTCGGTCCTGTTAAAATAACCCATTTATGAGATTTCTGCTGAGGACTTGGACTATTTTCTCAGCTGCCTTTTCAAGAGCCCACTTGTGGTCTCTTACAGCTGGGACATCATTCACCAGTATGGTGGACACTCTACCAAGTGCTGTACCTCTTCCAGCCATGAGATGTGTTCTATGGACTTAAGGTGAATTTCAGTGCTTCCAGGTAATCCCCATGACAGATGGGAGCATGCAGGAGAACACACAGAGCAGACCAAGGAGGCTTGGAGGAGAGAGGAGGAAGAAAAGTTCCCTAAAGCTGCAGGAAACAGGGAAGCTGGAGAGGAGCTTCTCGGAATTTTCTTCCCTGATCAATGACCCATCAAAGAATGTTCAAAGGTATTTGAAGATTTCCCTGCTGCGCTTTAATCCTTCAAAGTGCTTTTTATAGTGAAGAAATACTTCAAATAATTTTGTTAATATACAGAGCAAAGGATTGGACAGTGATGGTTCCTAAATGTGCTGTTGAGTGGAATTGTTTAGTACATATATTCAAACTTAATGGACACTAAAGCCATGCTGCATTAGTTGCAATACAACACATTTCTACTTTTATTCTCTTTTTTTTTTTTTTTCCTCTAAGCATGTAGTTCTCTGTATCCACAAGACCATTAGCTGTGGGATTTAACTGGCCAAAAGTGAAGTTTAATAAGTAGACATTATATCTGATCTCAGTCTCCCTCCTTAGAAGGAACTCAAATGGCTCAAGTGAATGATGGTGCATAAAGATATAATAAAGATATATAAAGATATCAGCTGCATATAGAACGTATATCATGATTCTGATATATTTAACTTCAGGACATCTGAATTTCAGGTGGATAAGGCCCACCCAGCCTATGGGTCATGGCACTTCCTTAGGTCAGATTTCAGTTCTACGTAACTTCAATGTATTTTTTATTTGAAACTTCCCCTTTCCATTACCACCGTCATTATAAGAGGAAAATTAATAGGCTCAAAACATCCTTAGACACAACAGAGCTGATACAAGACAAGGAATTTAGTGATAAACACTTTGAAGGTTTAGACCTAATAAACTGATGACTGTCTACCTGCTTTCTACAAGTTGTTTTTCCTCATAGTCATGCTGTTGTAAGAAGCAAAATAAGTTTATTCCAGCAATAACTGGAATATGTGTTTTTATTCACCTTTTCAGGGAAGGGGAGGGTGTTTTGAGCTGTGCCTGAAGTGGGAACAAACAGGAATCACTGGTGAAAGTGTTGGCACAGAAACTCCTCAAATATAAACCCTGCTGTTAAAATATTGCCATTTGTAGAAGCTAAACCCAACCAAACACTTGTCTGGGGTCAACACAGCTGTCTGCATTGCTCTTCTCCATCCATATTCGGGTTTGTTAGTGCAAATTGTTGCTGGTTGTGCTGGTGACATTGATGATTTCCTCCAGAAGCTCATGGGTTCCAGTGAGTCCTGCAGCATTTCTCAGCCATTCCTTTGGCCAACTGAATGGCACCACTGGAGTTCACAGACTGGAAGATAACCTGGGACACCTATAGCTCATGTGTTGGTCTGTATGTCACGCTGATGATCCTTTTTGGGGATGTATTTTATCCTATTTAAGAGATCAGCATAGACAATTTCAATAGGATATGCTCTATTTGTCTGTATTGTTGTCTTTCTAGTTCCCCTCAGCAATGAGAAGGTGCAGGTTCTGTCTTTGAATGATTTCCTTGGAGAAGGGAATAAGAGGTAGGCACAATAATAGCTCAGCCTGAAAGAGGCTGCGTCTTCAACAGGAAACCAGAAGTGTCATCTCAGCTACTGTTCACGCTGATGTGAACCAAGGTGAGCCCAAACCCATCTCATTTGTCCATCTCTCAGCCAGTCCTCTAGGCTCTCAGTGATACAAATCAGTAGCTCAGTGACAGTCTCCCCAGGGAAGTGGTGGATTCCCTAACATTGGACACTTAAGCTTCAGCTGGAGAAGATGCTGGAACATCTAGCTTAGATCAGGCTTTGCCTAGAAAGGTTGGACCAGATGATCCTTGAGGTCCCTTCCACCCTGGTGTTCTCTGGTTCTGATGGAGAACTTAGTCTGTTCATGGGACCATGTGTGGGTCTTCTCTGGACATGGCAAATCCTCCTTTGGGCTACACAGACTCTATTGATCCATCCAATTGCCCCTGAGATATCATAGGATGTATGGACACAGGTCTGGCAGGCATGGCTTGTGTCCTTTAGGGTAGCCAGAGGGATGCATGGTAAGTCTCTGATAGTCCTGGACACCCACGTCTGAACAGCTGAGCCACCACCTTCATTTCTCCTGACTGCAAAGAGACTCTTGGCAGTTAGCTCATATACCAATGCTTAATGCTGTTGGCAACTGATGGATGAATAAATCCCACTTATGGATCAAATCTGATCCAAATATGGCTCTGTTCATGCTGTCAGTCTGATCTCAAAGCATGGGCTTCTAGTATTTAAAGGGAAAACTCAGCTATACTGAAAGAAACAGTGTGAATTGTAACCCCCAAAAATGTTCCAGGCACTGGCAGAATCTGGTGTCTATTGAGTGTGTTTGAGCAGAGGCAAACGACACTGAAGTTACCATGAATATACTATCAGTTTGCTGCTACACCCCTCCAAAAATGTTGTAGAAAGAACTGGATTAACATCATCCCTTTTCAAAAGAGGTTGTAATGGAATGGGTTTGGTCTTGCAATAGAAGTGGAGCAGTGGAATGACTTGGCTCTGTGCAAAAAGGAGTCAAAAATGGGTAGCTGAAACACTCTGGAAGTACCTGGAACACAGTAAAGAGGTCTAATGGACCATCAGTCATGTTGTGACAAGTTGCTCCTAGATAGACCCCTGTGTTCCTAACCATCAGTAGCCTTTCAGGCTCATTTAGTGCTTGGAGGCTTGGGTCAGCCTTCATCTTCTATAATCCCAGCTGTCTTCTCCAGGCATCCATCCAGAGGTAATTACCTAAACTGCTTGCAGCAGATGTTTGACACAGACTGCCCTTTGGCTGCACCTTCTCACCTGCCCCTTGATTCTTCAAAAGGGCTTGTGAAGAACAACTTGTGCTTGCTTGGATCTCTACTTTTCCTGTCCCTGGAGGCTGCTGAATGTTGTAACAGGTTAGAGATCTCTGCGACAACAATTAGAAGAGATTTTCCATCAGCCTGTGTGCATAGCTAAGCCTTTATTAGCAGTTTAGGCTGTTGTGACTCATGGGTTCTCATTCAGGGGCCAGCAATATATAACCAAGGTTCATGTGTCTTAGGGCCCTGAACTGTAGCCAAAACTGTGACAAACACTTCTTCCCCAAGTGTTTGTGTCTGTTGCCTGCAAAGACCTGCAGGGAGAGATATAAAAGTAACACATTGGTGCAAGTGAAGAACTTCACCTGGTGATGAAAATAGGCTGGAAGGTCTTGGAGGTTCAGGAGAGACGTTCTTGTTTGGAAGCTAGGAGGATGCCTTCAAGAGAGAATCCCCTTGATTTGCTGTGCAGATATCCAGTGTCATCTAATGTGGAAGAGAACTTACAGCTGTAAGAGGTGACCCCCTTCCACAGGTATGTGAGACCATACCATAAAGGTCCATGTTAGCCCTGCTCTGGTAGAAATCACTGCAGCAACTGGGGAGGCTGCTCAGAATTGTGCCAGGTAAAGATTTGCTCCTCTGTGTTGGTTTTAAAGAGATGAAATATTCCTGCTGGGATGTACTCATAGAATCCCAGCCTGGTTTGGGTTGGAAGGGAGTTTAAAGCTCATCCAGCTCCAACCCCTGCCACGGGCAGGGACACCTTCCACTAGAGCAGCTTCCTCCAATCCCCTGTGTCCAACCTGACCTTGAACACTGCCAGGGATGGGGCAGCCACAGCTTCTCTGGGCACCCTGTGCCAGTGCCTCAGCACCCTCGCAGGGAAGAGCTTCTGCCTAAGAGCTCATCTCAGTCTCCCCTCGGGCAGGTTAAAGCCATTCCCCTTGGCCTGTCCGTACAGGCCCCTGTCCAAAGCCCTTCTCCATCTTTCTTGTAGCCCATTTAGCCACTGCTGCTTATCATGGTGCTTATGGTATGTTTAAGGAACCTTGCAAAATAAGAGACGAGCAAACTCACAAGGACAGATGAACCTAACCACTGGCCCTGAAATAGTGATATTCACTTTAAAATGTAAAGAATATTTCTACAAAGAAATATTCTGTTGATGGAGAATGGATCTTTGCTGAGTCTTCTCGTCCTGACACTCATCTGATGGGGTAAGATTTTAGTTCTCATCTTTAATCCTGTGAAGATTTAGTTGTTTTACTCTGAACCTTTATGTTATCAGTGACAGAAACCTGTAATTCACACTTTCATGAGGGTGAGCAGCTTAACTTAGCACCTAACTTAGACAACCGGAGTTGAGTGAGTTTGGCTTAGCAGAGCTCAATGGTCTCATCATGGTGTTGATTCCTCCTAATCATATATTCTCTTAATAGTACTAAGGGAATAACATCTTCAGACCCAAATTTTGCTCATGGTCTCCTGGCTTCACCTCCCCAAGGTTTCCAACTGTAATATTAAACTCTTCATGTCCTGAATGAGTTTTAGGGTCATGCAGCACCCCTTCCATTCTCCTTCCTTAATTCCCAGCAAGTTAAAGGCTCTTTT